ACCTGTAAGTGATTTTTTGCTAAAAGAAAGGGGTGAAAAAAAAAGAAAAAGTGTATTTCTCGGTAAAAGATCACATAGGTATTTCTTTCATTGGTATTAGAGCTATGATGTTATTTGTTGTCTTTTCTCTTTATTGATTTTAGATGAAGCTTAGGAATGAGATATAAGAAAGCTAAAAACCTTTGTCGTCAAAAAATACACCCATGGTTAAGAATTATTGAAATATTTCAACACCGAAAAGGTACTTTGCATAATGAGTATTCTATGCTATTTTGGAGTAGAGATATGAAAAATATAATGAGGCATTTTTCTATTACATACTCAATGATATTTTGTGAATTTAAGAGTAGGATCTACCTGAAAAATTTCAGTGGGAGATCCTAAGGGAATTGAGAGTTATGGAATCATCAATGAAAGGTGTCAGTTTTGACACTGCAAAATCTAAGAACTGTCCATTGAGTTCCGTGATTTTTCCCACCAATCATATAATTTTATTTTTTGCTGAAATTTTCTTGTAACACATAAAATTGAGTATAATTTCAAGCAAAAAATGTTTCATCAAGAAATTCCTTGTGGTTTGAAAGATATGACTAATTTATTGAAAGGAGCGCAAGTGTTGTTTTCTGCAACAAAAACTATTTCAATAACTTGGAAGTCATGATTTTATTTTTATACTTAACATAATGTTTTATGGTCCACACTAAATTTTTAAACTTTCATTCTGAGTCTATTTTATAATAAAATTTATTTGAAAGAGAAATATCTATAGGAAGAGAGGAATAAAAATTTTAGATTGAAAAGATGTTATCTTGAATTTTCTGCAATTTGGTATGTTCTTTATTGAGACATGAATAGCTATATTTATCAAGCCTACTTAACAAAGTCATATGAGGCATGTAGAAATATATGTGTTACTATTACGTGTCTAATTTCAAACAAAATTGGTTTGAAAGGGAAACTCCATGATGGTAGAGAGAAAAAATAATTTTACTAGATAGTATTCATCCTGGAATTCTGTAGTATGATTTATTTTGTGATGTGAATGTCACTTATTTATTTCTGTGAAGAAATGTATTATTTGAGATTCAAATTATGATGGTATGATTTGATTTTGAGTATAGTTTTCAACACAAAAGATTTCAAGAAGAAATTCTTTGAGGATTGAGAAAAATAAATTTTTTATTGAGAGGTGCTCAATCTGATTTTTTGTTGAGAAAATTGCATTTGACCTAAATGTCACTGAAACGAAGACTCACTATATAGTATGATTTTGGAATGAAACTGAGCATTATTTTATATTTTTGAGTCTATTTCAATACTCAAAAGGATTCGAAGATAAAAATTTTATGAGTTGACAGATATCATATCTTTATCAGGGGATGCTCATGTTCTATGCTGTAGTAAATTAAAAGATGTGACATGTTAAGACACATCTTTGAATTCCCAATTATGGAGACCTTTAAGACTCATTTTAAAAGGTTTTATGGTGTGCCATGAGTATGATTTATTATAGTACAACTTCAGAGAGATGTAATGCAAAGTTAGCAAGATAATAGATTCTATGTGAAGAGTATTCGATCTGAAAGTAGTAGAAAGAAGAAGAAATACAATACCTATAAAAGCATCTTGATTTCTTCGAAATAAAGGGATATATAGAGAGACTTTGTGGTAGCATAGAACTACTAAAGATAAGTGGGAGAATCGAAATTATGATATTTAAAATAATAGGATGAAGAAGATATATTATTCACGGTATAATACAGGAGAATCCAAGTGCCGAAGAGATGGACACTTCGTGACATGTGAAACTAATGACCAATATATTTTCAATAAGTTGCGTGCACTTCCAAATCACAAAAGCTTGCTAAACAAGTAACAGCGATGAATCAAGAAAGCCTAGGTACCACACTACATAATTTTGCTATATGAAATCTATCTCACATTCTATGATAAGGTCATATAGGAAAGAGGATTCAATAACTTTGTTTAATGTGATTTGATTATATTTTGGCTCATTGTTTTATGAATATGTATGGAGTGTATGGACATTAAGTGATAAGTACTAACAAATTTGAAAGAGCGGGTTTTGAATACCTTGTGTTGTTGTGCCTCTTTGTGAACTACTTAAGGTAGTAATACATATGGATATGTGATTTGATCAGGAGCTTTGAGCCCTAAAGATGAAATATGAGAGATGAGTGTGGCTCATTCAAATAAGTAAGCACAAAGAGAGAGTTCTGGTGCAACTTAGTCTTAGTGACCATCCTCTCAATAATGTCCATAATATGATGTATAGCATATGATGATGATTTTTGATAAATTCTCCATAATTGCTAAAAAAGAAGTATTTTGTCAAAGTTTTAATTGGGCATTATTTAGTCGTGCTTTATTTTGGATAAAATTATAAGATGGTATATATGATTTGTTTTTATGGCCATGAAATTGACTTGATAAT